AGTTTGAAGTGAGATATTTAATGTTAGGCTTAACAATCATTCAACAATATTGTGTTCCATAAGGCAGACAGAACACTTTGTAACAAACATTGATTCTCAGTTTCAGTAAAACTAAAGCAATATTGGTGACCGACGGTGTGGGAGATCGAGAGTATCAATCAATGCGGCGTGAATGAGAGAATACATATTGACATAGCTCGAAATCAATGAAACCCATCGGGCCCATACCGGAGAGTAAATGACACATTCGTGAAAAGGTTCTTCTACCCTAATCATGAAGATGAAAATACTTCGCACGCGCAATGACGTAGTCCAGAGATGTATGAAATGCATTTAAACAATGAGAACATCATGAATCCAGAATATTCCGAGTCATTCACAATAAAGAAGGAGAGAATCACGAACAGTGTTATCCAGTGTAATGAGTCGACCAATAATAGGAATGAATACCGAATTTCCAATAGTTAGCAGTCGATTATGGAAAATGAGCTCAATGCCAAAGTCGGAATGGAAAACACTGGGTATGTGGGTATCATAGAACGACATAGATCAGAAGAAAAAGCAAATATTGGGATAGATCTGCAACAAAATGGTCTCAACGGATAACACCACGAAGAACCAGATCATATTCACATCAATTAAAAATTAAAAACAACAGTAGATGTGAGAACCAGGAGAGGAGCTGAAATGGCTTCATTTCACCATCTGGTTGCGGCCAAGTTGAAACTGAAGCTAAAGAAGCACTGGACAACTGGACAAACAGCAGTACAAAGGTTCAATACAACCTTTCTATGACATACTAACAAATTCAACGACTTGAAGACAACTCTCAACAACAGGTTCCAAGTCTTACAGGATCTACTGAAAGAAGAAGAAACTACTACGGAGGAAAACTGGAAAGGTACCAAATAAGCATTAACTTCAACATCTCAGGATGTTTTAGGCCGCAACAAGCATCATCATAAGGAATGGGTCCCCATCGAAACCCCATACAATATTCAAGAAAGGAAGAATAGGAAAACGGCAATCAACAACAGCCGAACAAGGGTAGAGGAAGCCAAAGTACAATCTGGATACACAGAAGCAAACAAGCAAGTGAAGAGAAGCATTAGAACTGACAAGTAGAAATACGTGGGAGATCTGGCAACGACAGCGGAGAAAGCTTCAAGTGAAGGAAATACGAGACAACTATATGCCACAACGAAGAAACTGGTAAGGAAATATAGTAAACTAGAGAGAGACCACTCAAGGACAAAGAAGGCAAGACAATCACCAAGATTCAAGAACAAAGGAACAGATGGGTGGAACTCTTGAATATACCAAGTATGTAATAATATGGAACAGTCTTCCTTCCGAGACTCGCATGGCAGATGAACTACATACGTTTGTGAAACTGCTTGATCAAACCCTCACTCGCACTGATCTTGCACGTACGAACACATCTGCACCCCACTCAGACATCATAGGCTCTCTCCATGTCTAGACCAAAATGGACTTCAAGTTCAGTTTGCCTTATTTTTCCTACTTTGCAGTTGTATTAATTACTTTTTCCGTCCCATTTCTTCACTTGAAGTAGACAGGTAACTCACTGGACCTATCATTACTGTTAAACTAAACTCGGTTGATAAGAGACACTCACTACCACCCTAAAAAGTCAAGAGGACCCCACAATCGGCTGCGTACTACCAGTGGTCTTGCATCTATGGAACCTGTTACCAATCAACTGGTTAAGACAACAGAAAATAACATCAGCACCAAGTTACTGTGAGTTCCTTCCTGTTTATCCTATATTAACCTTTTACTCTTCTGTACACAATGTTGACTAGCAATTAATATTACTTCTCCACTCGTTCCCTTATCCACAACTCATACTTCTATACTTTTTCCGCCTGCTTAAATAAACAACTATCCTACAATATACCCTTCTTAACGCTTATACTCTGTTTGGCAAACTATACTTTATACTATAGTCAACAGAGGCACTGCATCGATGCTTTACCCACAGTCCACAGCTTGTAACTGCCTGATAAGCTTGTAAAATGGTACTTATAGAAATAGTGCTTTCCAACAAGTTGTGAAACAGAGGATTGTGTGAGGTATGACGTATATACAAAAATAAGCTTAAATGAGCCTAACATCACAAAAGGAGGGAGGGTGGAGTTACTGACCAGCAAGCATTGATGGTGAGGGCGATAACTTCAATCCACCCGTGTTTGTGGGGACAGAACATTTTGTATGTATCAGGCTCTTTATAATTGAGAATAAGACAGTCAATCTAAGATATAGATTGTCTTCCTACGCTCACCACTCAGACTCATGTTTCCAATAATTTGCTGGATTAGCTATTCTACTAAGACAACCTATAACATGCTAACTCGGACTTTTACACTAGGATTGCGTGGCTGACATCGGATGGACAAAAAAAGAAAAGAAAAAAGACAATAAAAGATATAGTCACTAGTATTCTTAACACTTCACCCTCTACATACACACCCTTCTAATAAACCGCTTCCCTTGTACCAACCTTGACTTCCCTTCCTTCATATGAGCTTACTCCAACTTGTTAAACATCACTACTCGTTGTTCTTTATTAGTACATTCTCTAATATGGAGCCTCTGACTTCACTTCACTCTAACAAGACATAATATGAATTTATTCTAATTTATTATACCTCTGTCCGTTCTACTACACAATGTTAAGCAACCTTTGGCGTTCATATCCAAGTGCCTTGCTGCTCCTCTGTTTCTTTTTTTTTCTCCTTCAGAATCTTGCTCTGAGAGCACAGCTATGAAACTTCTGACGTTTGGAGCAAACTTAACGTACGCGTCCTCTCAAGGTCATAGTTTACAGCAAGCGCTCTACGATTTCACTTTATAACAACTATAAACTTAATAAGTTGGGAAGCATTTTGCGAACCAACAAATGTTGTAATTTATAGATCATGCCTGTAAAAACGGTGTGTACCTGCACATGCAGAAATATATTATTATTATTATTATTATTATTATTATTATTATTATTATTATTATTATTACCAGCTCCACTCAGTCCACCGGACATCGAAGCAACACTCACAGACCTTTTTACAGAGGTCACTCCTCCAACGATCGAAGAAATCAGGATGGCCATCAGACAAATCAAGAGTGGGAAACAACAGAACCTGACAATATACCAGCTGAAGCACTGAAGTCAAAAATAGAAGTAATTGCAAACATGCTTCACGTTCTATTCGGGAAGATTTAGGAGGACGGACAATTGCTGACGGACTGGAGAGAAGGACACCTCATCAAGATACCAAAGAAGGCAGATCTGAGCAAGTGTGGGGACTACAGAGGCATCACATTACTATCAATACCAGGAAAAGTTTCCAACACAGTGTTGCTGAACCGGATGAAAGACTCAATCGACGCACAACTTCGAGATCAACAGGCTGGATTTCGCAAGGATCGGTCGTACACAAACTAAATCGCGACACTACGGATCATCGTTTAACAATCGGTTGAGTGGAACGCGTCATTATACATCAGCTTCCTTGATTATGAGGAAGCATTTGATAGTGTGGATAGGAGAACACTGGAAACTTCTTCGACACTATAGTGTGAGTACCTGAGAAGATCGTCAACATCATCCGGAATTCATACGACGGACTACACTGCAAAGTGGTGCATGGAGGACAACCCACAGACGCATTCCAAGTGAGGACCGGAGTCAGACAAAGCTGCTTACTCTCCCCCTTCCTCTTTCTTCTAGTGGTCGACTGTATTATGAAGATCTCGACATCTGAGGGAAAGCACAGAATACAATGAACAGGTTTGATGCAACTACACGATCTGGATTTCGCAGATGACCTGGCTCTTCTATGCCATACACACGAATAAGTGCAGATGAAGACAACCAGTGTAACAGCAGCTTCTACATCAGTAGGCCTCAACATACACAAGAGAAAAAAGCAATATCCGGAAATACACAACACGGAGAACACCAACCCAATCACACTTGATGGAAGATGTGGAATCTTTCACGCACCTGGTCAGCACCATCGGTGAACGTGGAGGATCCGATGCAGACGAGAAAGTGAGGATGGACAAAGCAAGGACAGCATTCCTACAATTGAAGAACATATAGAGCTCAAAACAACTGTCAGCTAATATCAATGTAATGATCTTCAATGCAAACGTCAAGACAGCTTTACTATACGGAGCTGGAAGTTTGAGAACAACTTCAACAATCACCAAAATGATACAAGTATTTATAAATAGTTGTCTATTCAAGGATACTCAATGTCCATTGATCGGATCAGATACGATCAGCAACAGCCTACTGTGGTGTGGAAGAGGACGAACCAGCTTCAATCCGAAGAGGAAATTATGAAACGAAGCCAGAGATGGATAGTACATACACTGAGGAAATCACCAAACTGCATCACAAGGCAAGCCCTAACTTGGAATCCTGAAGGGAAAGAGAAAATAGGGAGACCAAGGAACACATTGAGTCGAGCATTGGAAGTAGACATCAAAGGGATGAATAGTAACGGGAAAGGATTGCCTAGGACAGAGTTGAATGGAGAGTGTTGGTGGGCGACCCATGCTCCTCCACGAGGGGTTACAAGCGTAAAGTAAGTAAGTAAGCAAAAGTGAAATTAAATACCAAAAGCTTCAAGGTATTCAAAAGTACAGGTTACAAATTGCTTCTAAAAAACAGTTATTTCTGTGACTGATTGAACTGAAATTCAAATTTAAGTGAATACAGTAGCTGTTACACGTAGTAAACAATCAGAACAATAAATTCATATCAGCGGTGAGACTGTAATTCATCTGTAAAGCAATCCGGTTTATGATAGCGGGTCTTAGATTTTGGCGTGAACTGCATCCTTTCATTTAGCTTTATAACGTTTCGGAATCCCAGTTGATGTTAGTTCGTGATAAAAATCACAAATCTATTTCTTACCCTAACCATCAACTGGAAATCATAATTCTAATTCCCCACACTGGTTTATGACCTTCATTTAGTCCTAGTTAGCGGGTGAACATTCTCGGGGTCACTTTAGCATCGCTCAAAGGTCGTCCATAAATTGTGATGTAAATTATCCAAAGATGTTTACAATTGAGTGACCAGATAGTCTAAAAGACAACTGTACTCACTGACCACAATGCACTTGGATTATTCGACAACATAGAGTTTATATACAAACTGAGTATACCCAGCCCCTCCTTGTACTAAATTCCAAGTTGTCCTAATTTTAGGCTTGTTGTGCTACTGGTTGCTTTTTCTTTGTTTTCCTTATTAGGACCAAGTGCATTTTATGCACTTACTGAGTTTTCGGTTTACTTTTCCTCCTGTTTTCCCAACTTTCAGCTATCCTCACGCATACAACTCTTTGCACTCCTATAGTACCTAAAGTACTACCAGGATAGACGTGAACAGACACTTGACCAACTGCGTCGATGAAGGTCACTAAGCACTTATGGTATCATATCCAGTGTTGCTTGAAAGCAACTAGTCCCATGGTATGCCCGTCAGCGAAGTATGGTACAAGGATGTTGGAAATTAAAGACGTTGAGTTGTGGGAATTGATACGAAAAGAAAAAACTAGACAACGATCATCACTCGAATTAATTGCTTCGGAAGTATGTTCCTTGGCCCATCTGTATGCATTTTCAGAACTTCGTATCACAAAGTATTCTTGAATGCCTTGGCTCATGTTTAACAAACAAATATTCAGAAGGATACCCCTTTGCGAGGTATGTTCGTCGAAAACTAATTTTAATATTGAGAGCTCTCCGGCAATCTGACGTTGATACTGGAAGTGGGTAGGGCTATGTCAGGCTATCAAAAATCTTAATGAGACTAACTATTATTCCCTCTACGTGTAGTCTGATTTCATGGAGTTTCTGACTGCTAACTTCGACCGTTTAAGTGGGTAAAGCCTATTTTATTGAACCACTCGCGAACGCTGTACCAATCAGTTAAGACTAAGTAATATATATTAAGTTGCAATACACACATTACTTTCCGGAACCCCAAACCACCATGTAATTATTTACCTATGATTTCTTCCAGATTTTATAATTATTGTACCAATTCTAGATTTAGATCTTTGTCTATTTGTGAAGTGGCACCTTGAAATGTAGGTAATAAGGTGTAAACTAACATGATTTTATATTAAGTGTGTTCGTAAGCATTTCAGTCTTAATACTTAGCCAGGCTATCGACTGTGGATAGCGAGATAATCAACGTTTTCCCAAGAATATCATTCACTGAAGGTAAAGGACGTAGGGTTCTGTATCAATGGGTGCTATAAATCCTTGGTTAAGACTTCAAGACGGTAGCTAATCAAGATGTATTTCATTTATTAAAGAACCTTGACACCAGTTGTCCAACTAAAGCTATCTGGAATTTGAGGTGCTACTTTTTCAGACACTAAATCGTTATAGGTCCATAATTTTCACGCTCGTTAGAAACTCGTTCTCGGTACTTTAATTTTAAATGTCTTTTTTTTCTCACTGTTTTTTGTGTGGTAACTGCTATGCCTTGACTGAATACTGTGTATATAGGTGGTGTTTTAATATCTGGAATAATTCCGTCTGTTTGTTCTGTATTTTGTTATTCATTTACCACATGTTTTTTTGCGTGAGGAATTATGACACTTAGTAGTATTCAAACTAATGTGCTAACTAAGAATTTCCGAAATAGTGCAATTTAAGTCATGTAGAAGTAAGTGAACACAAATTAACGTATTGTATTTGTGATTCGTAATCTGTGAGCCGTCAAGTACAGAGGAATCATTAGTTTGCACAGATACCACAGGAATCTATCTATCTCTTCACTGAAATGACTTTACGAATGGCTATATCTGTCTTCATTTAGCACCTTCGACATAATAAAAATTACAGTTAGTTAGATGGTGGTAATTGTAAGTAGGATTCCCAGATTATTATAGTGTCCTCAACAACAATAACATCCATTGTTTATCCATAACCTTTGGTGTTTATTCTCAGTAACCGTACTGATTGGATATTTTGGATAACTAAACTGGACCTAAGTTTGTTTCAGTCATTATCACAAACACTTCTATTTCCAAACTTATAAATATATTTGACATGTTAGCCAGTTCTTGGACAATGCTTTAATGAATAGGTTTGTTTACTACCTAGTAGTTTATACCAACCAATCTCCTTCATGTGATGTCACTGTATTGTAATCTGAATAATCAATGTGTTTGTTTCTTTAATCATATGTTTTTTAAAACCCACTCGTAGTATGACCAAAAAGTATACGATTTCAGTCATGCACTATTTGTCAACATCTTCGAAGTGGAAAGGAGTCTGAAAGTAGTTTGCTTATTTATTATCAACTTTAGGTTGTTTCCCCAAACACAATTACCTATAACTATTGTATTTAGACACGTTTTGACACCACTTTCTATATTCGCTGTTCATGTATGATTTTATAGAGAAGCAAATATTTTCACGAAACAATTGGGTGGACTCCAGATATATGGCAACTGGTTTCATCTTCGGTGTCTACATTAAAACAAAGAAGTTGATCATACTTATTTGTATTATTGGTTTAGTGTATATTAAAAGCTGTTGATGGAAATACTCGTAAATCGTTTAATCATGTTACTTATGGTGGTATTAATAGTTTCAGCTACACCCACATCTTGAAAATAAAAAGCTCTGACATCAGAATTTTAGCTAACTTTGGAACGGTTTGCTGACTAATTGCATTCCTATTATTGTAAATAGCTTTTTAGTATCAAACATAACTGCCACCTAATTTTGATTGTCTTGCGTTTCTTTTTTTCACCTCTGTCACGTGAAAACATTATCTGTAATACTGTCATTCGTATTGAAGTTTTGATTTCAAACTACAGGTAAACATAATGAGCTTGTGGGTATTAATTCCAGGGTCGGACATGATAGTTCCAAGTAAATTTGTGACACCTTAATTGGTAGTAAGTTGCATTTCTGACGTCTCTTGACTTAATGTAAGTCAATTTTTATCTACTCTGAAGAAGTGACTACCACTGAGTCACGAAACGTCACAAATACTATTTTCTACTCAATGGGATACTATATATATATATATATATATATATATATATATATATATATATATATATATATATATATATATATATATATATATATATATATATATATATATAGACAGGTAAACAATTCATTTGGCAAAATAAAAGTGCCATGTAGATACACATAATTGTTATTATGCTTCTAAAAACCTTAATTTGCAGATATTACGGAGGAAATGAAGTTATAGATGCTATTGAGACACTAGCGCAATCCAGATTATTAGATCTCTTCGGTCTCAGAACCCCTGGAGCAACACTTGGTGATGCTGAGTGGGGTGTTAATGTTCAGCCGTATAGTGGGTCCCCAGCGAATTTCGCTGTATATACCGGCTTACTTAATCCTCATGACAGGTTAATGGGTCTTCATTTACCTGATGGTGGTCACCTTACACATGGTTTCCAGACTTTGTCAAAAAAGATTAGTGCCACATCTATTTTTTTCGAATCTATCCCCTACCGTCTAAATGTAAGTTTCAGTATTTGTGTTTGCAGTTTAATTTCGCAACGGCTTTTAGTTTTTTATTATGTACTCAGAATAGGTGATCATAATGTTCCTGTGTACATATTTTTTGGACTGTCATAATCCTTGTTGTACTTGTTCCAGGTTTTTCAGTCTTGTCTCAGCACTGTAAAAAATTTTTACCGATTAATAGAAATGTAATGCTTATGGATTTTACGATCTCTGCACGTCACAAGATAAGCTACTAAGGTTTTTATAATATTCATATTTCAGGTCGCACATCTATTTATTGTTCCCATTTGTCACATCACTACCCATTCTGGCACATACAATAAACGCCTTTCCTGTTAGATTGTAGATACAAAATAAATTAATGTATAAAGGTACAGTTGGCTATTTTCAACCGGATTTCAGTCACACTACCCGTTTACTGTCGATTTAAAAGCAATAGGTTTCAAAAGTTTGCGATACCTACTTGCTGGACCCATATATGTTCCCATTATCTGTCTGCTTTTCTTTGTCCATGCATTTTACCAAGTAAATAGAACTGTCACAGATTTCTGGAATTTTTGTATTTTTAGTTCCCATTATCAGTTCACTACATGATTTACGCTCAATGCAAATAGTGAATCGATTATTTGTTTACGTTGGTTTTGTGAACCCATGGTAACTACTAGTTGATTACTGAGCTGATAATTTGAATATTCAAGTGGTGAATAATATAGTACCCAAACGAGTCAGTAACCAAGTGAAAACTAAGATTTGGGTTCTTTGCCTAGCTAGCCATTACTTACTCGTATTTTTTGTAACGGGTGGATGTTTTAGTAATCCTGAAAACTTAAAAATAATTATTTCTCCATAAAATTGATTTTCATAGATATTTGGTGTCGTCTAGTTCTTGGTAGTCTACTCGAAATTTCGTTCCATCCTTTTCTTAAATGAAGTACTGCGTTGTCTTATTTTGTCGGATTTGTTTGTGTAAATTATCATTTAATTGTTGTTTGTTTTCTTCATATTTCTCATTTTTAGAAGGAGACGGAACTGATCGATTATGATGCACTACAGCAAGATGCTCTCAATGTATTCCCAAAACTTATAATTGCTGGAATTACCGCCTATCCACGATTGCTGGATTACAAGCGTTTTCGTCAAGTAGGTTAATGAACCAACTTGGTTATCGAAAAACATATTATCAAACTGTTAATTTGCATTTTAGAATAGAAAGCAAAAGTTCATGATGAGCACTCAAAATAACGTTTCATTGTGATAGATTGAATGTAAAACAACATATCTTAAGAATAAGCATAATAGTCGTGCATAATATTGTGATTGAGCTTACACTTTCCATTAAATAAAGTTTATCGTATTTTCCAAAGTTCAGGCACACGAACATGAAATAGTATCGTTAAGAGTAAGAGAAATTTATACATTCTGTTGGTAATATTATTTAAGTACGAATCTCTTTAATTTGCTTCATGTTGTGTAAAAGAAAAGACGTAATGGTCAGAAGCAAAAGTCCAATATCATCTACAATATAAACTGCACCATCTGTGAGTATTGATATAAAAGACACCAATTATCCATCAGAGTAAATAATTATAAATCTTTTATTTGACGAAATGATTGTCTATGTATCCTTCATAAAGCCCCATATCTAGACATTTAAACTTGAATTCCTTAGTGGAAGTATAGAAGTTTAAATGTATGAATCTGTATGTCGTAAATGAGTTTAAGATTAGAAATTTCCTAAAGCGTTTCTAAAACTCTTGTATTCACGTCACTTGAGGATTTTTGTAGCAAATACTGGCCACCTGTTATGGCTGCGGAAAACTGATACTTTCTATTTGTTGCGACGAACCAGATAATCATACGGCTCTATTTTGAAAGAAGGTAAGACTTCAGATGGGGATTTATTAATATTGCAAAATAAATCCGCAACAGATACAACTACTGGTGGATTTAAATTAGTCAGTAGCTAAGTACATGTAAACAATTTACAAACTCGATTGATTTAACTTCATTAACCAACAATATAATAAATTACTGGGCTGGATATTTGGTTGTTCCTAATAGTAGCTAACACACACTGACAAAAACCCATGTTCATCAGACATTTAAAGGAATTTTAAGTCACAGTCAAATGCTCTTATGGTTTAGTATATTTATAGAACCACAATCCTACTCGACAAACCGAGTAATTAAGAAAAATAAATGGATGACGTAGTTTAAAGACTGGGAATAAAAGTTGTACAAATCACACAATCAGTCATCTGTATACGCTACATAGGTTTGTCTGTATCAACGGCATGACCGTAGTTATAACGACTGTACTTAGTTATTAAAATAAAATAACCTCCCAAGCAAGTAATAGTTAACTTGACCCATAGTATATCAAAAGGCAACCTTTTTGAACAGTTGCTTATAATTTGGGTCTACTTACTAATAAAAACGTCTCTTAAGCCAATTTACAAATGTCTGGTGTATCATGTGTTGATCCCTGCTGTAGTTATGTGTGTGTAACATGAGAGGTAATAATAGGACCATATCAATCGGTAAAATCAATGTGTATAATTTGGATGAATACCGAATATTTAATCATGGGAATACTTATTGATGCACTACAAATCAAACAGTATTGGTCTATAACGAACAAAATTCTCAGGATTCAGTGTTCAGATGATTAGTTTGGTTCAAAACGTTTTATGTGGGATATAAATAATGATCTGCACGTATCAGGACATATTAAGTTTGTCACGTTTTACATTAAAACGTATGATAATGGTTATTAGATTGTAGAGCCAAATGTATGTCGAATCGAAACATTTTTTAAGTATACTATTTATGTAATTTCAATGATGCCTGGTGTCAACATTGACTCAGTTTTTATTCGTGTTCCTAGATTTGTGATTCAGTTGGAGCTGTATTACTAGCTGATATGGCCCATATTTCAGGTTTAGTTGCTGCAAAAATTATCCCATCACCATTTGAATATGCGGATGTTGTGAGTTCTACAACACATAAAACTCTACGTGGACCGCGCTCTGGAGTCATTTTTTATCGCAAAAAAGAGAGATCTATGGAGAAACCTAAAGTAAATTGTTGCATTCCTGTTGATCAGTTGGAAACAAGAATAAATAATGCAGTTTTCCCTGGCCTTCAGGGCGGACCACATGAGAATGCAATAGCTGCTATTGCTGCTATGGCGTTTGAGGTACGTTATTTGGTGATACATAGCTTTTTGGGTTAATTTGTTTTTCTTTTTCTTTCCCATAAATAGATGTACATGCTCATTTTCCAAACACCATGAGAATCAATACTGTTTAGACCAACACAATCAGCACTCCATGACTTGCGTGCATTTGCGGTATCCATAGTATTTTTCTTACATAAAGTTAGTGCTACGTGACGAATGATAATAAACTGTCTATCTAGTCCTTTTAATGATCAATAATAGTGTCAGTATTTATAATTAAGTAATAATGAAGTTGATAACAGTTTAATTGTTAATGACAAATTAATTAGTAATTAAAATAATTCTCTGTGCATATTTACATTTGATCTAGGCAAGTAGACCTGAATTTCAAGATTATGCTCGTCAGGTCTTAGCAAATGCTCAAGCTTTGGCTAATGCTCTTACATCACTCGGTATCCGCCTTGTGACAGGTGGCACTGATGTCCATTTCATTCTTATTGATTTATCTAATTCACCTAGTAAACCAAAATTAGGTCGGGGCGATGGAGCACGAGTTCAAATGATTGGTGATCTTGTTGGTATTGTTCTAAACAAAAATACAGTTGTTGGTGATTCTAGTGCACAGCAACCATCTGGTTTGAGAATTGGTAAAGTTCTTAATTTTAGCTTCCTGTTTACTTATACGTACAATAAATTATACTTTTTATTCAATTCTAATGGTGGATATGTCACTCAATTTCGTGGATTAGTTGAAGTTGGACATTAACACCGTTGGATGCCGGCTCAGTGGTCTAGTGGTTAGGTGCTCGCGCGCGAAACCAGTAGGTCCTGGGTTCGAATCTCTCGGAGGACGAGGTCGTGGATGCGCACTACTGAGGAGACCCACAATAGGACGGAACGGCCATCCAGTGCTTCCAGGTTTTCCATGGTGGTCTAGCTTCAACTGACTCATGATCTTAACCATTGCAATTCTAATTTAGTAAAAGAATTCTTTGATCCTATTAATTCACTTAAATCATGTTGTCATATTATTTTAACTACGCTAGAATAATTAACGAAATAACCATGAACATTCCCATCTACGTACTAAAAGTTTGATTGAATTTATATAGTCTGATCAATTCCCCTTTTCAACAATTTGATAATTTCTTAAATGCAAAAACCTATACCTGAATTAGTCATGGAATTAAAGTTGGACGAGATTAAAAAGAATGAAGATGTTTCAGCGAAGAAAATTTTCTTCTCGATGATATTATTTTCCGAAGCTGTACAATCGTCCTTATAGGTAGCCCTTTGCATTTAGTAGTCTAGAACAAAATAAAGGTGTGTTACAAAATGATCAAAGATGGTCACACACTTATTCGAGTATCGGATGTAAAAGTTTATGGAAATGAAGTAACTAAAGATTATCAGATTTTAAGTATTGAATATAATGACTAATAAATGGAAGTGTATCATCTCAAAGTATTTGAAGTTATCGAAAGTTTTCAAACATTAAATAAAATTAGCGTTACATCATTTAGCCAAGCAGTCGAACATCATGAAATGAAGTTATGGAATAATTTCGGAAGTAATAGAAATTAATTATAAAATGAATGCAAAAGACAGTTGTTTACTTTACAATAGAGAAGGTAAAAAGGCTAATAATTATCACTTACGATTTGTAAGATTGCGAGAGGTTCTAAGGCTATCGAAGAATAAGGGATTGAGCATGACCCTTTTGTACACAGAGGTGGGGTTCAAGATATTAATTTGCTATAACTGTGCACCCATTCTTCGTGCGAATCGTCTTCGAGCCAGTTTTTCCTTACATTGTAGATTTATTTATTTTAACACATAGATATTGGTACAAGGAGGCACCAAATACATATGCACCACACAAATCTCATTCGATATGTGTGAGGGCTTTGATACTGCCCGGGTGCCCAAACCGAAGCAGGACATTGTAGATTATTTTAAACGACGACTCTCGTGATGGCATGTAACCAATGTTGACCATGTGTTAAATGATCGAGCTGTTAATTGATTTGCATTCCCTTGTAAATATCTATGCAGGATAGTCCTCGGACATTTGCTTACCATGCACATGCTTTATACAGCTCATACAGCATGGTCCACATAACCAAGTAAAATGAATAATTCACATATAGGTAACCTAATGCGACATTCTAATCACGATTCTTCCCTGAGTGGGTTTCTTACTGGACAAAACAATTCGAAGCTTCAATGAATAAGACGTCTTTCTCAGATATCTATTGTGCTTTTCGGTATCTCAGCAGCCACATCTCTCTTGAATTCAGTTTTCATAAATAAAACTTTGGGACTGTATGAGTACTTTCGACTTAATGTTTTGGTTTCTATCAAAGGAACATAAATTTCAGTTAAATAATATCGTCGAAAAAAAATTTCTCTGAAATATCGTCATTCTTTTTAATGAATCAGTAGTTTTCTTTTATTGTTCTTAGTGGAATTATTTGATTTGAACTTTCACTAGAATTAGATCGAACTCTTTAAAATGAATACTACACTTAAGTAATGAAAGTCATTAGATTCAATTTGTTCATATAAATATTGAGACGACTTCAAAATAAAATTATCTTGGAGAAACTAGAAGACGGAGGTCAGATATTGAGATCTTTAGAACTGACAAAGGTTTAGGGGTAGTTCTTATTAATAAGTGTGACTAAAGAAAAGATGGTATCTATACTGGGTGATCAGAGTAGGTTCCTGCAGGACGTTCCATCCAATACTAATGCTATAAAATTGAAATCCAGAGTAGTCTAATCTACTAAAGCTTCTTACAATGAATGAGATGAACAAAGAGGAAGTTAATTTGCCAAAATCTCCCAAATCTGTTCTCTCAAATTTATGTAGATTGCCTAAAATTCATAAGCCTGATAATCCAGTACAACCAATTTCATATATGCGTGGTTCTCCTACACAGAAACTATCTAAATGGTTAGGAAAATTGTTAAACCCAATCCGTAATAAATTATGTAAGTTTTCCTTGAAAGATACATTTGAATTAATTGATCTTCTTGAGGACATTAATAAGGATAAGACTTTGGATTCTTTTTATGTAAACTTTTTTTTACGAATGTACGGTTAACTAAGACTATGGATTTCGTTTGTGACTATATATCTACTAATTTTCCCCTTTTTCCTATTTGGTCATCATTGTTGAAAGAATTAATTTTATTATGTACTGCAAATGTCCAGTTCACGTTTGAAGACGAATATTTTCGAAAGTTGATGGTGTTGCTATGGGAAGCCCTTTGGGGCCTCTCTTAGCTGCTGTATTTGTCAGATGTTGAAAGTATGACGAGTACGAAAGATACATGGATGATATGCTAGTTATATGTAATAAAGATTTTGAGGTTTCCCGGTTATTAGATAAACTCAATGGGGTCCAAATCGATATCATAATGAACTATGAAGCAGAAAATGATGGCCAATAGCCCTTTTTAGACATGCTTTTTAGTCGAAGTGTGGATGGTACTATAAAACTGTCAGGCTGGTTAATATCTAAATTTCCAGAATTTCTGTCTATCGCAATACAAACGAGGTTTGGTTAAGTGCCCACAGATACTGTTGGAGAAGACGAAAAACTGCTGAGTGACACTAATAACAAATAATTATCCAGTAAATTTTATAGATAGGTGCAGAAGTAAGTCAGCACCAAAACCTCTCGTTCATTCTGTTCCGAATAAAACTGTTTATATCTGTCTACTATTCGAAGGTGAATCTAATAGTATGGTTTGAAGACATATTTAAAGCAGCTATCGTGAAAACCTATTACGCTGCTAAACTGGTTGTGATTGAAAAGACTAAGCCCATGATCCCAAATAGACCTAGAAAATACACGGACGATTGCATCATATCCCATTTACCAATTTACATGTTTGTGCGGACACACTTAGGGTGGAGTAATCGAACAGTGCAATCAAGCGTTATGGTACATGTGCCTAGGTGGCTTCAAAACCAATTAGTGTCAAATGGTCCGATCAACATTGGAGGTAGAAAACCATGTTCATCGATAGCAAAACACATAGTTGCAACGGCGCACAGAATTAACATCAGTACAGCTTTCAAAACGTTGTATAGAAATTGTCAAGGACGAATTCTTAGGTTCATAGAAGCCTTGACTATTCGTAAATTTAAATTCCACTTATATGTACAAAAACTATTTGACGTAACCTTGGATTTACCTTGGTAATCCTTAAGTCATTTTATGGCCTAGGGTAACACGACAATTTCTTATTCTATCATTTAATTGACGTTTATTAATTTTCATATAAAAATGCCCTGGCAGTTATGTGTGACCAGATTATTCGAAATGTATAGCGCAGATACATCACATTTTTCAGATCAACTCCGTCTTCTAATTGCTTTATCGAAATGTAGAAAAGGGATTAATTGCTTAAAATTATCTTGATATTCACTTACGAGTATATTTTAAAGTTATTTATTTGATCATGAAGATAAAAATACATATATGAGATCAAAGCCCACAGAAGAATTCATTTGTTTACCGTATGAATTATCTATAGTCCTTAAAAATTTGGAAACATAAAATAAATGAATCTGTAATAAAACACTTGTCTATTAAGATATATTTGCGTTTATGTTTATGATATGGTGTTTACTGAAGTCAGCAGGGATTAAGTCAAGTTGAATTGTTTTATCATGTGTAACATGTCAGTTTAGGTTGTATTAGAGAGACTTAGTGTGTTTGAAATTGTGCAATCATTTACTAGGATTTATGTGAAGTTTTTCTGTAGTGACGATTCCTCAAGAAAACTAAATTAATAATGTTAAAGCCCTCGAACAAACGGATAACGTAAAAATAAACAATAAAATATTTTTTTACAAATGTACACACTTAATTACAAAATATTTTGAGAGAAATAAAAACTATGGTAATCAATTTAAGCCACAGGTGTAAACTACTTTTCTTTGTTGTGAACTTACGAAGTGATAAAATCAATTTTGGCTACTACGCCTAATTCTTATCTATCATACCAGACATAGGTTGAAATAGGAGTCAATCATTAGTTTTGATCTCTCACTTATTTGTCATTAATTGTCAGGTTGTAGCTTTCGTCCATTCAGGGTGTTGGAACTTGTTCATAAATGTGGGGAAGCAACAGTCAATCTTTCTTTATGAGGCATGTTAGCTTTCGAGGTGTGAGTTTCCCACCTTGTTTCCCTCATATACGATCTCCTTGACTATCTATTTTCAAAACTTACGAGCTCTTCTTTATTTTTCGAAATTCATTCCACACAGCGTTTAAACTTATTTGCTCTTACTGACAGCTATCTCTGTAATCTAGCATATACTGCATTGTATCCAACACACGTGACTTCATAAACATCGTTTAACTATTCATTTCTTGTTATTTCTATTCTTGGCGTTAATACTGAACATAGGGTTTGAAAAGTCTTGAATATCAAATACAAAATAATGTAGTCGCTTACAATACTAAGAGTAATAAATGTTTTCTTTTATATAGAGATGACTAATTACATTCTAGAACGACAACTCATCCAGATCTATATTCAGACTGTAGTATTGTAAATAAAGCAGTCAACTTTCAACAACGATTCGAATCCTGCTTCATTTTTACGGGTTTGGTCAGCTTAGTAATAAAAGTAACATTCGGAAAATTCATCTCGTAGCTATGTAGATAATTACGTTAATTAGTTACATGAGAATTCAACTTAGAATGTAAAATTGCTGTCGCTCGACATGTGCTAAGTAACACTAACGATTCTGTGTCCCACTGCAATATATATGCGGATAAAATGAGTAGATTTACTTGGGTTTATGTTTATCATTCATATCTTTTTATATTTTATTTAATACCATGCGATTATTGATATTATACTTTGAAAATATTCAATTGATGAATTATTAATATTTAGTTTTGGTGTCAATATTCTAGTACGTCTTCTGAATTCATTGAAAATGGAGGTTGTTGGTAAACGTTTCGTATACATATGATACGTTTCATGATAGATATTTTTTAAAAAATTTCCATTCTCTAGGTACTCCAGCGCTAACTACTCGTGGGTTTAAAGAAAAAGATTTTGAAAAGGTTGCTTCATTTATTGACGAATTACTTGACCTGACAGTTGTGGTCAAGTCTGTCTCAAGTAAGATTTCCTTTCTGAGTTACTCTTTATGATATAAATATGCCAGTGTTTGGCGAATCTCTAAAATGATCTAGATAATCTGTAAAACTGGTCCTTCAAGTACAGGTATCCAAACTTCCTCCCATTTTATATAGCTTTGATTACTAATTCTTTTTCGAACCATTCTGATTATGTTTACCAGTTTTCAATACGTTAGTACGTGTTGTAAGTTGACCACATTTTTGTATAAAGCTGTCATATTTCATGTAGATACGTTCGTTTCATGATATCGTGACTTCAACTAGGTTTATTTATTTACGATAGGAATATGAATGAATCCGTTACTACAGTATCCATACAAATTCATCATAATTATCCTGAAACATAATTCTACCATCTACGCCTTAGAACAGCCACCAAAAGACTACTGCTCCTTTTGTTTTATGTACTTAAACTGTGATCACATTTCGTTTCTATCATGACGGACCTCTTCAGGTACATTGGCTAGGTCTCAACTTCCCATCGGCTTCTGGCACACGATACCATTCTGAGTATTTTCCAAATAATGTAAACGTAGATTATCGAAGGGAACGATCATTGGTACGATATTCATTTATACATAGACTGAGATTGAACTAATATCACTATTTCATTTATCCTTTCTCAAATATACATTCATTAAAGCTCGATTTTGATTACTACGATTCTGTGTGCATATTTCTTGTTTTTACTGTAATTTTATTTGTATGAAAAATATGGTTTATGGTACACAAATATGTACTTTAATAAACATTCTTATGGTCAAGTTCTTTTCATGAATTAATAAATCTTTTTGTTGTTTCAGAAAATCTTAAATCTTTTCAACTTACCCTTCAAAAAGATGAGCTCATAAAATCCAAGATTGAGGATTTACGTCATCGTGTTGCTGATTTCGCGTCTAGCTTCCCAATTCCTGGAATGGAAGATATTTGAGCAAATCTATGTACAGATAATATCGATTTTCATCTGCTACTTCGTATTCTAAATATTAGTTTAATACTACTGCCCAAACTGTGATTAGATTTATTTATGTTCTGTGAACTTTTGTATCACTTGTGGTGTGATAATTGTAATTTTCTTAAGCTTTTTTAAATTCCCAGTCTAATGTTATGACTATGTTTTGTTTGTATAATCACCCAGAAAATAAGTTGTTTAGCCATATTGCACTATTTCACTACTTTGTGTTATAGCTAACATAACTGTGACATCAGTAAGGGTGCTCATAACTTCATAGTATGCTGTCGTTTAGTTTGACGACCTTATAAATTTTTACTCATTCGGTTTGTTTGTTTCCGGGTTTCTTTTGCGAAAATAGCAATCAAGCTTAGTCAGATAAGCACACCCTTCGAAGCCCCTTTGTATTTTGAAGAGAATCTAGTGTTACGAGACTCACTTTTAGTACTTATTGCCTCGGATAACCTTAAATTATTACCAGGTCTATCAAAATCACTTAATTCTGATACATAGCTTCCGAACTGTATAGATGCCTTTGGACGTATCGCCTCGTTTTCCTTTATTTAATCTAAGGGATTTTGAAGATGCCGAAAGCCAAGTCAAGCCCCATTTGTGTTCTACCGAAATGTAATGATTTCACTGATACAGTCGGAGTGAATGGTCGTAAATATAGCGTTTTGTTTCCCGTTCAGAAAAATCACTGTCATACTTATACTTTTTATCCCTCCTTGTATCACTCATGTTAGCTCCTTATTTATCACAAAGGGGTTATCACCTTTTTATTTTCCTCTTAAAGTCAATAATCAGTTTATCGGTTTCCCTATATAGAAATCTCAAGAAGATGAACTGGATTTATTATTCTGGACTACTGAATATTCTTAATTGGAAAGCTTGCCTCTTAAGTAGTGGCTTGAACGCAGCTCTAATGGCACTTTACATTGATTTCGAGTACTGCTTTGTTCAAATTGTTCCATGGTGCTTCTGTAAACCTATACATAAACAAATCGATAAGAACCAAGCTACGCTACCTCAGCCCACTGTAACATTAATCTGGTGACTTTTCAGCTCTAGTAACAATACACCAAGTTCATGAAAAATTCGCATCGATGAAACTGAACGTTTTACTAGAAAGGAATGTGATGATCCAACTAATAGTGATGAAATCAGCTTAATTTACCGACTATTAAAAAAACGACTAAATCCCCTAAAATATCTATCCCTTCAACTTTTTCTTGATGAAGTATATTACAGAAAGTCGTTTCGAGGAACTTGAGTATATATTTCTTCATCCTTATGCAGTGAACGAGGACAACCAACCAAACAGTTGTATCGGACTTGATTGTTTCTTCGTTTCCACACCAATCACTCTTTGTTCTCGTTCTCTTAACCTTCTGCCTCCATGTATTTCATTTTCGACTGGTGATACATATCACTTGTGTCTGTCAACATCAATAACACACAATATTTACACTGTTGACACTGTAGGTATCATTACCAAGGTTTGATTTAATAATTTCGAATAAATTGAGCATTGGGTTGGTTGTTATAAATAACAATAATATATTTGTAATATCCCAATGAGTAGAAAATTGGATTTTCTGACGTTTCGTGACTTAGTGTTAGTCACGAATGGTTATTTATTCTCTGGAGAAGTGACTTACACTAAGTCACGAAACGTCAGAAAATCTAATTTTTTACTCATTAGGATATTACATATTTTATTTTTATTTACTGATGACATTGTATTTAAAACTCCTAAACCTTTCACACGTACCATAAGGAAACTCGGTACGATTGTCTTAAACTTTGGACTTGTTGGCAATGATATAAATTCACTAATATACTCTGGTAGATCTGGGGTCAACAGTATACTCTCGCATTTTCTTAAAAACGGTCCTTGGAGTACTCCGTTCTCGTTATTACAAATCCGGCTCTAATTCAGACGTGTCTGTATATCGTCTTACAAACATTATCTTCGTCATTTCATGCGCTTTGGTAATTATACTAGGAAACGACAAAACTGTTTTTTTCTAGCTGGAGAGTTCATATTTACTGCTAACCATGGTTTCATAAAATCTCACCTTGAATTCTCCGACCACATAACCAAACACATAAATAAGAGACCTGTTATCTTTGTATTATACTGCGCAGAACATTGCTCATGGCTTCCTGTTTTTGAAACTATAATCTTAGGATACAAATCCTACCATTACTCTGTCTTGTTTCCTACTTTAACAATCGAATCCATGTTCAAAGCTCGTGTATTTCGGAATCTCTCTGTGTTATCAGTGGAGTCATTCTGGGTAGTATAATTGGTCCTCGAATTTACTCAATTTTGTTAATGTGTATGATTCTATAAAGAACTGAAGACTTATCCTTCACGCTGATTACCTTAAAATTATACATGCTTCTCCAAGTTATGTGCAAACTGGGATGGAATATAAAAAGACATCTACCAATTGCATAATTGGTACCAGACCGGGAATATGAATCCTAATATATATATAAATCCATCAATGACATATATCTACAACATGACTCAGTAACAGATATTTTGTTACAAAAAAAGAGGTCAACAGACGTTCGACGATGACCTGTTAAGACAACTCTTCTTGTCTAAGATTCCTCAGCAGATGCAGGCAGTGCTTGTTGCATTTCAAAACAATTCTGTAGACGAGCTGGCTGTATCTATCGATAAAATTCTGGATTTCATCAGAACTTCGAACGCCAAGGCTTTTCAGTCAAAGAAAAACCTCAAACCACATGAAATGACGTTACGTCAACTTTATCCGGCGAACATAGCTGTCTGTTACACGTCCCTGCTGTGATTACGAAAGTTCGCCACTCCGTCCACATCGGCTCAGAAGCTGCTGTTCTTCCAGAGGATTCTAACTACTGAATGCAAGAGGCAGTTTTCAATTTAGAGGTGGCAAATGGGAAACAAATCGCCACGTATGGTAAGCGATATGTTTATCACAACGTGGGTTTACGCAAATCCATCCACTGAATTTTCGTTGTTGCTGATGTCTCTATGCCGATAATCGATATAGACCTGCTATATAATCATTTACTCATCGATATATACCAACGGAGGTTAGTATACTGGATGCAAGATCTAATTTGAAGGTTCAAACCTTAGTTCAAATTCCACAGAAAATACAAATTGATCTGTTTATGTAGATTTTTTTCCGGTTATGGTTTATCCTCAGTCGCGGCAGGACATACGATCAATCCATAATATCAACAAATCTCCGAAAATTGCAAACCAAATTAGCCATGTGTAACCAGTAATGTTAAACATCACATCACGACTACAGGACTACCTGTGTTCACGAAGGCGCACCGAATAGCTCTTGAGAAGCTGCGGTTGACTTAGAACAAATTCGACCATATGATAGACTTAAGAATCTTTCGGTTTAACAAGTGCTGCACGAACTCTTCAGATATTTATCGATGAAGATTTTTGACGTTTCAAATTTGTACATGTATGGTGGTGACTGCGTGGGGCTGGCGAAGTGTCACTGCGCGCTAGCCGGCAGTTGGGTCACTGAATGTCGAAAAGATCATCGTTCCATGTCAGGGTCAAAGACAACCAACGCTCATCAGTTAACAGAACGCCACGGACACTCATGCGGCCCATGACTGATTGTAAGACCGGAAAGACGTTCTCATCTCCAGCATCTGGACATTGTCTTCAAACGAGTATACGAGTGTTTTTTGACATGCTATTACATGTCTTATTTTCTTTTTCAGGACGGCTGGAAAAGATAAAAGAACAATGAACTGTACAGTGAATCAAAGATTTCATTGTACCTGTTTTTCATTACTATATTGTATCACATATTCTTTATGCTAAGGAAAGACGACAGGACACTGCTGAACATAGTGAGATATCAAAATGATGTTTACCAACGATAAGCTTTTTGGGTTTATACTTCTGCCTAAACCACGTCACAAGTGACACCACTGCCACGCTAGTGAGAAGTGATCTCTAACGATAAAAGAATGCGCAGAATCGATAGTTCTGTAACTATTCTCGTCTAACTCGAGTAGGTCTTTAATCACTCGAAACAGGACATGTTCATTGGTGATCTACATATCTATATGTGCATAATTCTGGGTCCGAAGCAACTGTTTCATCTGTTTATAGATTTTGACATCCAGTCAATTGTAAACTGTCTAAATAGATATCAGTCTTATCCATGTATTTGAATTCATTCAGATTCCCCAGCAGCCCCATGATTCCAAGTACAGCTCCAGGATGATTATGTATTTCCAATGACCAGGTTTGAGGTTTACACTAAACTGACTAAAATAGATGTTTTTTTCATAAATCTGTTTACAACCGTATGGTGTCTGGTTATATGACGCTTACGTTGGGCTTCAGTCATTTGGTTTATCAACGGATTCTTCCTCAGTTTTTATGAAAGAGTCGGGCAGGGCAGAATGTTTTCTACAAGTTTGGCTTTGATACAACATTATTTGGCTGCCTTCTCGTTTCCGATATAGATTCCAAGCGAAGCTGGTGTTTTTGAAACGAGAATGTACGAACAATCTTTTGAGGTGTACAAAGGTCATAAATTCATTAGCATTGATATAATGTAACAAAACTGAACAGTTGAGAGTTGGCGGACATCTGAGCAATGCTAAGGATTATAGCTGAATTACACATTTAATTCCTTATTTTGTGTAGTTTTTATATTTCCTACTATTTTACATTGGTTATCGAAAACTTTGTGTTTGAAAACGATGATCCCGCGCTCTGACTGTCATGTCCCGTGATCGGAATAAAGACATCTTTATAGCTATAGATGCAACAGGTATTCGGAATACCACAGCGCCTTTACACGTAACACCTTTATAACCGATGTATACTAACGCAATCAAACCAGAATTCAGAAATGAGGAAATTGGAAGATATATTTAGGAAGCTGTCGATATGTAGAGAAGCATTTGGTCTAAACAGGCTAGTAGTTGCAAAAGATGCGTAACACAACGTACCTACTCGTAATCTGATGTGGATGCCTGACTGTGCGTCTTCAGCTAGGTGTGGTCAGAAAACCTAGTGAGGTCAGTGTCAATGTCAAATACTTACAGAACTGAAGGTGACACAGGTATTCAGTGTTTGACAACGCTTTTGCCAGCAACACCTTCTAATATAATTTGTACCCACCGAGAGAAATCAAAAGACAGAGTCGAGTAGATCGAAAGAGTGTATTTGTCGATTACTAATATATCGGAATTTTTTTTATCTAATCTGGCTAGTGATTGCGGTAGATGTTGAGCACAGCGTTACCACACGTGATATGGTGCGGATGCATGACCGAGCGCCTTCAGCTAGATGAGTCCACTAAAACATATTGTCAGAATCCAATGTCGAAAACTTACAGGGCTATTTATTTTGCGTATTTATTTACAGCTACAGAACTATCCATTCTGGGGATATTCGACAAGCACATACTAAAAATATTGATCTCGGAAAGCCCATCGAGATATTGTTTCTTATTATTGAAGAGAACGAAATTGTCTAATGAATGATGTTGCCTGTCCTTCAGATTTTTCGCTTAGTCAAATGTGACCTTGTGGTCAGTATTCCCATCACAATGTGATTCCGGCTGAGTTGATCAACAATACCTTGGAATCGTGTTAGTTGTTTAAGCAGGAAACTTAACAGAAAATAGTACCACGAGTATTTTTATACGTGGTACGCAATCTTTCATGATGCTGTCAGCAGACATTTCACAGTTACCGACAATTTGTTGTGTCAATGATGTAAGAAATATCCTGCAGATTTTAGGTTTACCACTACCAGTTGAACTACGTGCGTTACTCTTGCCGAGTAGTTTATTTGCATTTCTAGAGATGTTGATGATGCCTAGGATTCTGCGTAATCCCGTCAACCAGATTCGTTACTCAGATGTCATTTTTTATGCAGCTTGTGCACTGGATTCTACAACTGTGACTTCTTTCGAGGCGAGTTCCGGACTAAACAAATATGACTGTAAGTGTGGTGCTTTCTTATACGTGAAGTTTTTCTTGGAGGAGCTTGTAATCCCACTACTTGGAGGAAAGAAGTGGCTATTCCGATTCTCGACCGTCTTGGCCTCACATATTATAATCCGGTTAGTTGGAGTTCATTACATTTTTTGAGTGGGTCGTCGTCCTCATTACCGTGGTGCATATGAAATTTAAACTAGTATTACTTTAATTAACAACTGGGTTCAAATTTATTGGGATGATTCCGACAAGGGTTCTTATAATTGCCACATACTTCGCGAAAACTTCCAGGTTATTTCGCAGCATTAAAAATTTCGTATTTTTTTGAGGCTATCAGCAAGTTGGTTTATAATTCCATTAGCATAACTTTAATTGCATCCGTTTTATATTAGAGTATTTTCGTTCTCTCAATTTCGTAAACAACATCCCCATTACGGGATGGCAGTGAGGACTTCCCTGACAGTGGCTGTATACGTGTGGTCATATGAGAGTATTTCAAGACGGAAAGCTGACTCTCCCCACCCTCGGTCGTACCAAGGCATGTGAGGGCACTTGGCTTTCTTACGTCCAGTAAGGCGCAAACATATACATGCTCAAATCAGACTACGCTCTGAGTCTGAACATATGCTCCATAATTAGCAGCAGTCTTTGGTTGAGCCCCTCAAACGATGGTTGATAACGATTTGATCTATTCGAGTTCATCGATGAGTCGGTTGCGGAGGTCGCCACGTGAAGTGATGTTTCTTTTTGTTTAAAGTTGGTGTTAGATGGTCATCTCAGTATAATTGCAACAAACGTTTATCATTGTCTGTTGGTGTAGACGAAACCGTATGATTCTCACATGTACTTTTCGGTTTGTTTTAGTTTACTTCAGCACTGAAATCACCCTTCACTATTACCACATCAGTGCGTTTAACTTTTTGAAGGAGGTAGAATAACGTCCTATGGAATTCATCTTTAACTTCATCCGAGCTGCAATCAATAGAAGGGAGGCGAAAACAACGAAAAGGCAACGGCCTGTGTTCCTGTCTTTTCGAGTTCTTACTGTCCCGTTTAGTCGGACAGCGCACAAGCGACTGTCTATTGGAATTCAGTCTAACAGCCTGTAATGCTTTTAAATTTAGTGAGGACATGGGAAGTGGCTGTTGAGACTTCAGATATACAAAGGGTAAATAGTGCTGGTCTTTTATGTTGACAACATGAAAAAAGGTACACTAACTTCAAGGTTAACATTTTCTATCCACTCACATTTTTATGAAAATGACATTCTTTAAATTTCTGGCTATCTATAGAGGATACCACTGTTATGTTTCAATATGGAATCACGACAGATTTGATCTAATAAATGTAGTTTTGATTTAGACTTTATATCAAGTTGATGTAATCACTTCATTTATGCCATCGAGTATATGATTATCTTTCAACTTTACTTCTTATTTACAAAGTGTAGCAGGTAGATGACTGGTCGCCTGAACTCATGGAACTGGAAAGGAAGGCAAAATCAGTGTCGGACATACTATTGTTTGTTTTTGAGAACTGGAGAACGAGAGGATTGGTCAGTCTTTTGGAAGCTACATACCTTGCTTCTCAAAAAAAGCCACTAGTTTTATGTATATCTAAAGTGGGATGCACCGATTTTCCTTCAGCAGCTGGTGAAAATATTTCCAAATTGTAAGTTGATTACTTATTTTTTCATGATGGTGATTGATATCTTGGGTACGCAATATACGATATTAGTTAGGCTGTTTACTATAATGTATGTATTTTATGAAAAGAACATCCAAGTTTAGTTCGGTAACTTTTATCTAGTTCACGTAGTACATTTTGAAGCGGATGAAACACTTTCGTTATGATTATTCATCATGTTCGTGTGTAAGCTGGGATGGTCTTCTGATATCCAGAGCACTGTCCAAATCCATAAGGCAATGAAACAACCTCAGGATATCCAATCCTATTGTGGCTGGTGACTAAAATAGGTTCAAATGCCATCATTTTTTTCAGGATCCTTGGGCTCCATACATTTGGAATTAAGGTTTTCCGGCCCTAGATAGACCCCTCGTATCCATCAACGCTTGCTTTTCGTGTTCTTACTTGTATTAATGCACATCACGTAAAGGGACTTTATAGAACCTACCTGTTAGAAGCTATAAACGCGTGACCATAAAGAAACCTTTAGAGAGGAAAAGTAGAGTATTATAACCCTTGCGGGATACAAGGAGATTTAGCAGTGAAAATATTAACTGAACTGTATCTCATCAAATATTATTATTCATTTGTTCATTGATTGTACGACCCTTTTTAGTATTTTTGTGCAATAATATTTAATTTTTTGTAGTTTATTTTTTAGATGCTTTGTTACACTGAAATTAATCTTCCAAATAAGAGAGTAATCTCATTTCAATTTTTAATGGTTTTGGTCATCCCTTTGTTGATATTTTGACTCAGATTTTTTCAATCTTAGTTGGCATATGTACATCCTATGCGGATTGGCTCGATATAGCCATTATGACGCAAATTTGTATAGAATAGATGGAATATGGCTAGCGCTGTAATCCAGGACTCGCGTTTCATCCTGTTTGTGGCTCATCAGCTGGATGTGTGAATTTCGAATCCTAGAGTGAGCATCAAATTCGAGATGCAGGTACATTCATCTGGCGAGTTTTAAATTGGATGAAATGCCCGTCCTGTATTCCACTACTAGCCAAATTTAATCTGTTGTGTATAAAAAACCATAAAAGTGCATATTTGGACCACATTTCTTCCAGACTGTTGAATTCAGTAAGATGAAGGGTTAATTTGAAGTATGTAACTCGTTTATCGCCAATAGAGTAGTTCAACCACTGAAAAATTTCCCCGAATATTATTATCATCTGCTTCTATAGATTTCTAAATTTTATGTTTGTTTTGATGGGAGAGACATTTAGTGCAGAGAAACAACAGGAAATATGCTATGCTAAACGAGATAATTTTACGAAGGAACGGATAAGACAATCATATGGTAGTGGTAAATTACTTAGACAAAAGATCCAATTTGTATGGGAATACACTCATTTTGTAATATATCCTTGATTAGGATATGAACTTCTGATGTTTTACAACCTTATAGCGGTCTTTTGTTAAGGGTGTCGTTTTTACTGATTTGCGTATATCAATCTTTTGTTATAAGTCAAGATGTTTTTACGTCTATAAAAATGTGAAAATGGTTTATAAAAGGCTGAGGCCAGATTCTTTCTTCTCAGCTAACTGTGTTTATACTTCACTAGATTTGTCTTGATTTTTTTAGGGAATATCACTTCTTAGAAGAGGCTATGAATTGTTTTATTCAATTGATTAAGCGTCTCAAGATACCATGTTTTTCAGAAGTCGAAACTGCTGTAAATTATGCAGTACATAATAGTCATTTAGTAAGTTGCTTTATTAACTTCCTCGATTGTTTCGTTAATGGAACATTTTTTGGTATCAAATTAATGAACTCGCTCACTGATCAAGTCCGTTACTTTACAGTATACACCCACTGAATTTTTATAAGTTTCCATATTGAATTGTTATGGAAGATAATTATGTGATTCGTAATCAGGAATGTTTCGGGACTGTTAAGTGAGTGGATACAATACTAATCTATAGATAAAGTGCAATGATACGATGCTGTTGTGCTGATTGCTCACAAGTTTGGTTTATTGATTCAGACTGTTGATAAGACCACTAGCCGACATAATAGGTTTCCCTACCTAATAACATGCTTACTCATAGATTAATAACAACAAAATAAACACGATTGGATGCTAAGATCAATTAAAGGATATCAGTTTTGTAGATCATTCAACCTCCAATAATTTACGACCTGAGAATTAGGTCTTATTCTTTACCATCATATCACCTCCTGCATGAAATAATTTAAGTCTCTTCTGTGGCAACGTTAGTGAAATAGTGGTGCTTTCCATTTATTTCAAGTACTCTTCAGTATTTGTGAAAGTTGCCGCACTAACGGATCGCAACTGCACTATTATTACAACATTTAAGATACGCCTATACTATTGTCTGATTAAAAAGAGTAAAGAAACGTTTTATTTCACCCTATTCCTCCTCTTAAGTATGCACATTTTTTTAAACCATAATTTGATCTTCAACTATATGAACACTCAGATTGTTTCTTTTCTGTTACTAAGAGCGTCGGAGGTTTTGTTGAGCCTTTTGTTGTGTGACATGTTCGAGTGATCTGGTGCATGTAGAGTAAATTCGGCAAAATCTGTTTGGGATTGCTAAAATAAATGAATAGAAAGTTATTATTATTTGAACACATAAATATTGGTACAAGGGGGCACCAAATATTTATGCGCCACACAAAACAATGAGAATGGGAAGACAAAAATGAAGGTAAGGAGCGTATAAGAAAGAAAAGAAGAAGAACAATAACGACCACAGATTAGTGTAAGGTAGTGTAGTAATAGTAATAATAGTAATGGGGGAAACGGAAAGGTACAACCAGAAGAATTCTTTCAGTTAAGGAAGATACAACCTTTTTTATGAAGAAAGTAAAAGAAGGTTACAGCAGGATCGCCATTGGCTTCTACTCTGAGCCATATCTGATAACGTCTCTAGCCACTGTGTTGCACCGTCTTTCGGACCCCAGCCAGTAAGTCGTGAAGGATCAACAGAAGTCAGCCCCTTGCAGCTTTCTTTCATACCCCGACACCATGTCATACACTGACCACCTCTCCGCTTTTTCCAACCAGTCCCAGCGTTGGCAAACAATCCACGACGTGGAATTCTCTGGGACGGCATTCGTAGAACATGTCCAAGCCACCGATGTCAGTGTTTCAAGATGGTAATACAAACTGAATTATCGTTACTGTGCCCGAATACACGATACTGAACCTCTGCATTACTAACATGGTGTTGCCACTTGATGTCAGCAATCCTTCGGAGACAACAATGACCGGATAAAGAGAGTCGTCTAACGTCCTCAACTCGGAGAGGACAGGTTTCACAAGCATAGGGCAAAACCGCTTTCACTGACGCGTTGCAGATCCGACCTTTTACAGCCAGACTGACATCACGAAGGCGCCAATGATGGCCGCTCTGACTCTCACTATACGTGCATTGACCTCACCACTCACACCCCCACCAGCACTTATGCAGCTACCCAGACACACGAATTTCTCGACTACTTCTATCTGCTCACCATCCAGGGTGAGTACAGGATTAGAATCCTGCCAGTCTTGTAGAAGTACTTAGCACTTCGAAGGTGCAAAGCACATACCATACCTACGGACACTGATTGCCAACTGATTAAGTGCGGATTGCATGCCATGGGCATTATCGCACAGGAAGACAATATCGTCCGCATACTCAAGGTCGAGAAGTCTTTCTCCAGGCAACAGATCCACACCACCATTACTTACATTCATCAGAGCTGTTTCCAGAATGTCATCGATGGCAAAGTTGAATAGGAATATTGAGATTAGGCAACCCTGTCTAACCCCACTGTTTGAATGCTTGTATGCCCTCACTCTACCTGAGGTGTTTGTATATAGGGCTTTTAGGATGTTAATGAACTTCTCAGGCACACCCTTCTTCAATAGACTATCCCAGAGAACAGTCCTGTCCAACGAATCGAAGGGAGCCGTGATGTCAAGAAACACTACGATTGTTGGTCTGTGATAAGTATGACGGTGTTCTAAGATTTGGCGGAGGGTGAAGATATGTTCAATACATCCTTGACCAGAACGAAAACTAGCCTGCTCCTCGCGAGTCAATGTTTCTCAGGTTTTGAACAACCTACGAAGTATGACGGAAGCCAATAGCTTGGACTCAATCGGAAGTAAAGTTATCCCCCGATAGTTGTTACAGGAACGACGTGAACCCTTTTTAAAGATAGGGACAACTGTCAACTCATTCCATGACGTTGGTACACCCTCTAGTTCACAGATTTTTGTAAACAAAGTCGTCAGTTCCTTAATCAGAAAGTCACCACCATCTTTAAAAAGGACCGGAGGTAAGTCATCTGGGCCCGGTGATTTGTAGCGCTTCAAGAGTTGGAGTTCCCTGCGGACTTCCACCTCATTTGGTGGATCAGTCGTCACCGGCCATATAGGGCAGGACAGTCTGACCGATGTTGCCGGAGCAGCCGGCCAGTTGAACTGCTCTTCAAAGAATTCTGCCCATCGTCCAAGGCGTCGATGGATGTTAATGATTGGCATCCCGTCATCCTCACAGGTTGTTTCGCTCACACCAGACTTCTTGCTGCCAGTAGCTCGGATGAGTTGGAAGAGCTTCTGGTAATTACCAGATGCAGCTGCTGCTTCCAGCTCATTAGCACGCTCCGGCCGCCAGGCTTCTCGGTCCTTACGCAAGCTTTGCTTAATTTCATTACGTAACAGCCTTTGTTTGTGGTCAAACTCACGGTCATCCGGAGTAGACCAACGGGCTTCGATGAGTTGTATGGAGCGTGAAGAAACCCAGTGCTTATAAGGGGGACGTTTCACGAAGCCGCGAGTGGCTTTACTCGCCATTTTCATGGCGTCATGTAGTTGCAACCAATGCTCATCTATACTTTTCGGTGGAATGGTAGCCAGCCTAGAAGCTAGCTCGGTTCAATACTTACTTGCAACAGAAGTTGCAACCAACTTGCTGACATCAATCCTTTGGTGGCGGTCACTTCGTTGTCCACTGAAAAGTAAGGTGAGATCGGAGCAGACCAGGGCATGATCAGAGTCCAGATAAGTACTCCAAAAGGAGCGGCAGTCTTGTACACAACCACGCCAGCGGTTGCTGTGCGCGATGTGATCAATCTTAGTGCAGTCTTGAGATGCAGTAGGACGCCAGGTGGCACATCGGCAATGACTATGCCGGAAGTTAGTGCTAGCCAGTCCCGGCTAGTACTACAATATCTGTCGAACGCACTTTCTGGAGAAGAACTGATAACTGGTGGTAAAACTCATCCTTGATTGCATCCGGGCTGCAATCTGTCGGGGCATAGGCGGAGATGACGAAAAGACATCGTTTCTCACGCTGATTTCTTCTCACTTTGATGGAACTTTCTAATCTAACAGCACATAACCGACTGTTAATGGGGATCCAATCGATTAGTGCTGTCTCAGCTCTAGCGCTTAGTGCGACATCAACGCCAGCAAGACCAGACGAAGATGCCACAGGGTCCCCGGCTAAACGCACGTAAAACAAGCTTTTTGAAGCGAGAGATGGAGAGTGAATTTGCAGTACTTTACTAGAGTTTTGAATACGGGTCTCGGATAGACAACAAACGTCGATATTGAGACTTTCTAAAGATAGAACCAGCCCTATCTGTTGTCCGACCTGCATAATTGTGCAAACTTTGAAGGCAGCCAGTTTGAATGGTGCACGTAGTTTCAGAAAAACTGCTTCAGTATTCGTATTTGGTGTAGCATTCAATTTTCAACCAGTCAGTGACTCGAGAATGTTTAGATAAAACCGAGTTTCCACCATAGGCGAGCTGCTGTATAGGTCGAAAAATAAGGATACATAAAGTGGGACTAAAAGAGAGTGAATAAATGACGTAGTAAATAACAATAATAATAATGTGAACCGTTTGACTGTTAATCGAAGGAAGAATAGTATTTTCCGTAAGTATCGTCATTTAATTCTGTTTGTGTGTGGGCTGTGATACTGCCCGGGTGCCCAGACCGAAGCAGGTGGTTTTCTTAGAGGGCAACACCCCGAGCCTTTGACCTAAAGGTCTGACCCACAAGGCAGTGGAGCATCGTGAGGAGATGCAGTCCCATGTAAGCCGGTGACCAACAATTGGTTCATACGCCATTTGTTCCCCAGGATCCTGGAGCCCATATACACCATTGGGAATAGAAAGTTGATAAATAGGCAGTACACAATAATACGGTGCAACGTCGTGCCAAGTGTTTAGGAGACCGGAGTTGAAATGGCTTGCATTCGGTAAAATTCGTTCACTATTCTCCCCTGAATGTTAAGTTCTAATGTTACTTAGTACTCCGTAATATACTAATATTCTATTAGCATTCATCCCAGTATTTCATCAATTGATCGTCTCATCAAATCGTTTATGTTGGTTAATAGTACTGTCTCTACATGTGAACTGCGAAAAACAATGAGGGTGTTAATTGTCTGAATCGCTAAAGTCGACTATGTCAACATAGTGCACTAATTCCAGCTGGTACGTTGCTAAGAGATACAAAGTGTAATCTTGAGCCACATACTGGATTTTGTGCAGTTTAAAATTTTTTTCTGTTTTGTGGGTTTCCTATATATTTTATTGCATATAGTCTACAGTAGGTCACTGGTTATTAAGCTTGAACAATACAGTATAATGAATTGTTGATATGTCTGGAAATATTACTGAAACTGATATGTATTTTTTTCAAAAAAACTAATTTATTGACTGGTTGGTTGTAATTTAATATTCACCTTATTTTTTTTTTCGAGAGGCTTAAATTTGCGGAAACCATAACAAATAAGGACAAGGAATTAATGAATAAAATACTGTGAGTTGGTTTTGTTTTATATTTCCTAGTAAATCGATGAATCTACAGACACATAAAAAACTAACATTTTTAAAAATCTCAGTGGTTAACTTCACTTCACTCTCAATTCTGCTCCAATCATCAAGGAAATAGTCAGAAATCAAAATTACCACATAGAATATAAGGTAATAAAACAGCTATTTACTATACAGTTATCCAGTCGTGTTGAGATATTGTTTCTGTGTGAATGGGAGTAATTTTATGAGGAAATGTATACGAATTGTGTCATGCAAAGTGTATGTACTTGCAGTTCCTATTTGACAACTAGTGACTATATTTGGCTTTACGCCTACATTTACGATCAAATTTGTCATTCTGGTTTGTAGCCAAAGATCAAACTTTTTGAAGCATGTATGGATTAAGAAAGACATTAGTTTCTTAAGTTAAATACCTAAGATTCTAGTGGATATTATTTACTTTTTAAATGTCGCCCACACATGTTGCCCTCAAATATTGTAAAACTGTTCACTCAAACTGGACAGAATTTCTTACAGACATAAAAGAAATGTTTCGTAACAAATTAATGCTGTAAAAAACATTCTGGCACTAATGTGACGATTCAGATATTATGTTTTGTCTAAATAACTTTAATGTACAAGGGCATTAATTAAAGTTGAAAGCAAACTTGTGACGAAGTTCTAAATGATGACCACTGGATTGCCGTTCATGTACTTTATTGGTCAAGCTGTGACTGAGATGTTAAATACCGAACGGGTCTCAGTGCTACTTTATAATATCATCACTTTCCTCTCCCATAACCAAATAATCTATTTACCACTCTCAACAATGGATGTCATTTCTCAAAACCCGACATCACGAATGCATATTTCTAAGTAGTAGTCGAATAAAGCTTTGTGGAAGAGTTATTGTTAATGTTTAGTGTTTTTTTCTCAGGACAGAAACTAGTTAATTTGTACACATCTGGCATATCAGATGATAAATCTCAATAGTTATAATCATTCATTGAATATTTGACATAATTTTTAATTTTCTGTCGTTGTAACAGTGTTTCCTAGTAAATAAATCATGTTCATGAATTTCCAAAGTTTCTTTTTAATCGTTGTTTTTATTTCAGATTTATATCTAACATATTTCACGAAATAATCCGACGAGCTCCCAAGTCAGCTGATAGTCAGATCGTGTATGATCAAGTTAGTTTAGCTGTCAGTAGTCTTAATTAGTCTGTTTTACCAGCATTTTACGTTTAATTTACTTAGTTGATTTCATCAACATTGTATAGTTTATCATTACTTATAGGAGTAATGGTCTTTTATCTGATTGTTATTGCGGGAAGTCATCTAATAAGCTGTGCTAATGTTATTAAGATATTGAAAAGAAACTATTATGAAAAAATCTACTGAGGATTTTGCTAGTTCATATTTCTTCTTTTAATCTACTCGCATTACCTTATATGTTCTAGTTATCAAGTTTTTTTTCTCTATTCCGCTCCAAGCATAACTGAACCAGAAAACATCCCATTTTTTTATAGTTAAAATGATTTTTTCTGTTGGGTGGATCACTGATATCCTTGTCCGAAATTATATTTCAATTGACCGTAGGAAGTAAAGTAGTTGAGCTCTCTGACCACTTCACTTGGATTGATAATTTCATCAGTCATGGTGGGTTTGTAACTGAAAAAATCTCGGCACGAATTCAGAAAGTTTAGTTGAGTTTTAGCAACTTCCATCACTTGTTCATAAGATGAAATATCTGTCTGCCAACAAATCTGGGAATATACTGCACACTAGTTCGTTCTGTATTATTTTATGTCTGTTAAACACGCTCTATGAAAGTAGGAGACATATGTAAGCCTCAAGTATTTATTCACATGTGTAGTCAAAGCGTTGGTCGCGTTTGAGGAGACAACCGGGCAAGCAATTTTGCGGTTAGATTTAGAGCATTCAGCGAATATAACAAATCAGCCGATAAGATCATGAATCCCCATCGACTGAAATAACTGGGACATGTAATTTGTACTAATACCCAACCACCGCCCACATTGATGCACGATTTTGACTGGAGTACGTCGGGAGAAAACTAAAGAAGGATATAATTCATAAATCAATGGAAAGATTTGCAGATTTTCAATGTGAATTATTATCTTATTAGATGTATAATATATATATATATTACAAAACAATTATATTTTTTACGACCGTTGACAGTTGTTGGAATGTATAAATTTTAATTGTCGAAATTGTCTTCATTTCTGTGTAGCATACGACTAGCTGTATATATTTGATATTTGCCATCGTATCCAGTCTAAAATTATACTAATTTGAACTTATTTGACACTTTAAGCTAAACATGTTTCTTGTGATCGATAAGCATCATACTTTGTTAGTTATTGACTGCATTTATTGCTAATTTTATAGCATATCGATTTTGTTCCTTCATTATTCTTATGCTTTATTATATCTTCAAAGGTTCGTCAAGGATTCAAGTCATTAAATGTTGATCTAACCAGTGATAGGAGTTTTATTACTTATTGGGATAAGGTTAGTCGTTTTGACTTATTATCTTCATTGTATGCTGAGCATATACTGAAACAAAGTTCTCCATCATTATTGGTTATCTTAAAAAAATATCTTTCCATTAAACTGCTGAGTAATCGGGATAAATGTGAATGCCTTGTAGGCGAACAATTGGTGAATTTATTTGAAGGAACTCAGTCGTATTCTGAATTAATGGAATCTCCACTAAGCAAACAACCACTTGATTCTTCATCTCAGGTATAACCAGTTTTAATTATACTGAAACAAATTTGCTAGTATATTTTGAATTACATCCGTGTGATTTATTTTGTTTTAGGTGTTGTATCAGACAGAAGGCATTTTAGTGAACGAGAACACAAGCGGGGATAACCAAATGTATTTGAACATAAAATTACAGAATAGCTTAGTAAAGTCTGAGTACTATACAGTAAATATAAATAAAATAATATATTTGTAATATCCCAGTGAGTAAAAAAATTAGAGTTTCTGATTATAACAATCTACCCAATGCTCAATTTATTCGAAATTATCAAGTCAAACCTTGGCGATGATACATACATACAGCAAATACTTCATTTGTAAAATGTCAACCAATTGTCTCAGACTTTACCGTCCCTTCATTTCCACACCAATCATTCTCTGTTCTCGTCCTCTTCTCTTCGATCTTCTTAACCTTCTGCCTCCAGGCATTTCTCTTTCTACTGGTGATACATACTAATTATATCTGTCGACATCAGTAGCACACACTACAGTATAACATGCTATTCACACATATCTTACCTGAGATATCAATCTTTCTGCCTTTCATCTATTTTCATCCATTTTATTTACTAACAGGCTTTATCTACATAGTATAAGTATTTAGTGTGAATTATGTACATAAAGATAGTCTAGTCATTTGATCAATATGCAGGTAAATGTAATAATTTGTTACTAAAAATCTCCCCGGTCAGTCGTTATAAGGTAAATAAACCCAAATTCTCTGGTTTATATCAAATGGCACAAACTGGCCAACACGGAATCTAATAAATGCGATATATATATAGTAATATGTTTCTGATTTCGATTCAATATCAACTGCATTAATTCTAATTACAGGTGTTGTGCTTTAAATTAGAGCTGATTAGGAAAAGATAGTATTTGAATTCAAACTAATAACTGGCTAATGTCATGCAAAGGATAATTTCTTTTACTAAAAGAACCACCTTATCCAATGCACAAACATGTCCCAGGTTCTGCATTAGGTATAACGGATTGCTTGATCTTACCCAGCTTTTTTTTCATCACGTTACTGTTTATTTGTACTTTTTTTGAGTGTTTTAAACTTGTGATTCTTCTTCTTTACTAATATAGCTCAATCCCTGCTTTCTTAGCGATTCAAATTATGTTTCGATTAATTCCAATATTCAAACACTATCTACATCTCATTGTTCATCATTACCGTTGTCAAAATCAAATAATTCTATGCATTTGAACAATATTCAACCTTCTAAAAATGTAACATTTGATATTTATATTGCTGGAATATTGAATGAGAATAAATTCAGTCAATGTTTATTAGATAATATTATTTTACCTAAATTAATTCATTCGAATTTATCATATTATCAAGCTGTACAAAATAATTTTCATGAATCATTTGAAAGTAATAAGAATTTGTCAACATTTTGTGAAGATTTAGAAATTGAACAGTTAGAAATTCGTAAACATTGTCGGCTTTTATTGTATATAATTGATAATAGTTCTTTTCATTTAATTACTCTAATGGAGGTAAGAATTTTGTTGGTAATTGTATATTTATGATTTGTATTTTTTCTCTCATGAAATTCCGATGTCTACTTGTCATCATCAGATGATTTTATTGGAGTTCTGGACATGGTGTAATGAATAGTAATAAAAAATCTACGATTTGTATGTAGAAGTGTCATATCACACTAATAAGGGTACGAGTAGAACAGCGCACATAATAAAGAGCAACCTTCAAATAGGCGCATATTAATAAACATGAGCACTTAAGAGTGTAATAAAAGCTTTAAGCCTGTAAAATCTGTTCTATTTGCCCTCTGTTCCTTTGCCTCTAAGATCGATCAAAAACGTAGATTTCTGAACGTCTAATAAAGAGTGTACTTCCAACAAATACTATAATTTTTGAACTTGCTGACATCTTGTTATTCTTGCTTCCCCAATCATGTTATTTCGTACGTTTATTTCGAACAGCAACGGAATAGTTTCTTAAGATGCATGTTTGTGTGTTGGATTTCCAAAAGAATAAGTATCCGTTAGACAACTTAGGTATTCAAAATGCATTCTCGTATTTATCTTATCCCGTTATTCTTTAACGCAAATTAAGTCGATGAAAATATACGAGGGTTGGTGATATGTATGTTTCGATAACAATCAGCATGCGATTTAACTGAAGTCAGATACAGGGCCACTAAAAGCTTTTATTACCGTTTTAAGTGCTCATGTTTATTAATGTGTGCCTCTTTAAGGTCATCCTTTCGAATGGATATCTATGCTTGTGGCACCAAGAGTATTAAGGTAGAGGGACAGATATATTTACGTCAAATCATTGCACATATATTCAGGGTTTCCAACTCATCACAATATTAAACGAGAAAATTCACAAAATTGCGAATGATTGAAGATGTGTTGATGAAAAGGAAATGAAATACCAGTTCGTAAGCTGTTTAAGATTTCGGAAAGAATAAATGTGATTGTATTGGATCACTGTTGCCGATTAGCAGCCGTATCACCTAGGGTTTCTTACAATTAAATTCCCCCAAGTAGTGTACATCTAAGTAGATGGCTCTGATCAATAACAGTTGACTGCCATTTAGTTGTGCAATTTCCTGGTCTGCGTTTATCCTTTTTTAAAAACGTGAACTTTCTTCAGTCGGTATCATACATCAAAATAAATGATGACCTAATATATGTGACACACATTCTCAGCCAGAACTGCTAGTGCATTTTTATAGTCCGTTTGTTTAACTCATCCTGTCAGTAATATCGATTGTGTTTTCTTATCGTGCTGTTGCGAATAATTTTACATAAACTTTGAATACTAATAACTATCAGCTGTGCACTGAAAATGCACACTTGATAGTTATCCGGAAACTTTATTACGTTTTTAGATGATATAATCAAAATTAAATTGTAACATAACCGTCTAGGGATATCAATTTTAATCGCTGGATCAGAAGCTTAAATCATTGATTCACCTCCTAATGTTTGTGAGGCTCTACGTCTCATTACAAGTCTGCTCTTTAACTTGTTTACTCATTTTAACATTTCTTCGATGAAATTATACCTACCGTAGTAAAAATTTAGATGTTATTTAGTTATCTGAGTAATACCACAAGTCCATATAATACCAGAATCATCTAGAGATCAGTGAATAAAGGGAATAGCCTCGTACATAAGATTTTTCACACTTTTATACTGTTTAACGTTAAGAATAATTCTGTCATCATTTGTATGCTCTATTTTAATACGGGTTACGTAACCTGACAAATAATTCGACAATACTGCTGTAATCTTCAGGTTAATAATTATTAGATGGTGGTTGGAGGTAGTCAACAGGAAACCCTGGACCCGGGTTTCGTGCTACTTGGCACTCGTCAGCAAGGTGTACCTGTAATCTTGAGGGAACTGGTGCTCCCTGACGGATTCGATCTCGTATCACCCAGCTTCATAGTCAGAGACGTTACCACTGAGCTATCCGAGCCGTGACTAACCTCCTGTAGGACTGATATGTAATCACAATTGATTGATCACTGGGTGGTGATCAATCTCATGCTTGTCTAGTCCTTATTAGTGCAGATCGAATGCTATCGATCATGTTGCAGTGTGGCCACCAGTCTAGGTGACTCGACACTGCGGGCACTATGTATTGAGATTAGATGGGTGACACGAGATCGAATCCGTCAGGGAGCACCAGTTCCCTCAAGATTACAGGTACACCTTGCTGACGAGTGCCAAGTAGCACGAAACCCGGATCCAGGGTTTCCTGTTGACTACCTCCAACCACCATCTAATCTCAATACATAGTGCCCGCAGTGTCGAGTCACCTAGACTGGTGGCCACATTGCAACATGATCGATAGCATTCGATCTGCACTAATAAGGACTAGACAAGCATGAGATTGATCACCACCCAGTGATCAATCAATTGTGGTTAATAATTATATTAAGAGCGATGATGTAATACTTAGGTGGTTAGTTTCACATTAGATTTTATGAGGATGGTATGCCGTATACATCTGTTCACTTCTATGTACGTTCATATTACTTGACTTGGTATTCTAAGCACTTTAATTCGAAATTCACTTTCTACTCTATCAAATTTAATTTGGTCCAGTCGTTTAATATTTCTAGACTTCATATATAAACTTTGTCTTGACTTTCTACTTATTTGGTGGGTTTTTTGAACTTCCGTTAAACTGATATTATTGCTTTTTTTGTTTTGTTTTATTTTTCAGGCAGCCTATTCTATAGGATGTCATTTACCTGTAGTTCTTTTCATACAAATGTTTAATTCTTCTAATGAAACACACATTAATAGTTGTAATATTTCTCATGAGAAATATGAACCTAATTCAATTCAACAATTAATATACGATGACTGTAAAGTACAACAATTTTCTGTAAGTTCCATTTTGGTCAATAAAAAAAGATTTTATTTCATCTATTTTCTATTTTAGGTTAATAATTTTGTTAATATTAGCATGAAGAAGAATACTCATAGCAGTGATGTTTCCAGTGATTTCACTGAAATAAATTCTTCTCTTTCCAATGAACAATTATCAATGAAATCTAATTCTTTGGATTATGGCATTGTAATTGATTCACATCATTCTGTTCAACATTCTACCAATAATTTTAATTGTTTAAGGGATAACAATAAATCTATCAATTCACAACTACATGATAATAATAAAAATAATAATATTCCTATGAAATCACTTTCACAACAAGCCATTAAGGATTATAATCGTGTACGTATGTATTTAATTGATTTAGCTCAAGAATTAAATATCCCTGTTGCATACGATATTGAAACAGCTCTTGATTTGTGCATCTTTAAACTAAAAACACAAGTTTAAATTGCTATGTAGGCAGGAAAAAAAACAGTTATACATATTGACCATTCCATGTCTCGCCTACGGTGAATTTCTTTTTGATTATTATTTCTACCTCTACAAATGTTATTACTTATGTTATTTTGATCATTCGACCAGTTATTTTTCTTTAAGCATTGTCTTAAATCTTGTTGTATTCTGCTTTGTTCTGTACATGTTATCTAAGTTAGCAAAAAAGAGAGTAAAATAGAATTGAAGTACTTTACCAAGTAATTAGCAAAATGTTTAAGCCTATTAATGCTTAAATTAAATTTACCTGACTGAATTTATTTATAATTTTCTTGAAATGTGACTATGATCGTTTCGTTTTCTATTCATAGTAACTAAACTATGTGATTTTGTTTTACACTCTTAACATCACAATTCTATTCTTTTTTTTTCACTTATGTACATATCCATGTAATTACAATAATCACTTTACATTTATTTATATAATTTTAATTTCTTTTAAATGTTTGTGTTTTTGTGTTATTGTTTACATGCTATACACTAGTTGTATTTAATTTGTGTGTTTTTCTAAGTTGCTGCTCATATTTATTTATGATTTTAACAAGTAATTATTATTTGTTGTTTACTGTTCATTTAATTTATTTCATCATAGTTACTGGGTAAATTGATTCTAGAAAAAAAGTGATTATAATTAACAGGGTCTAAATATTGATATTCTTAAACGTTTACTTCTATTCAAATTAAGTTTACCTGGGAATTTCGTGTTATGTATTCGTTAATTTATTATGATTGAGACTTGAATATAGTAATAATAGTTACGTTGAGAAAACAAACATTAATTTTAGATAACTCATAATTACAAATTCTTGTAGTGTATGTAATCATTCGTTAATGGTTTGAAAGTTTTAATTTTCTATGTGATTATTTGTTATGTCTGCGAAATATTTAACTGGCTTGATACTATCTTCTGGAAATAGTGAATCGATTGATGCAAATAACATGAAGACAGTGAATGCGGACCTAATTGACATCCAAAATAAGTTGAAGTGATATCTGAATACAATAATTTTCACTGATTAATGGTCAAATTTTTATACAGTGAACTAAGTGGTACTTGACAATAATTCATCGATAATCGATTAGATAAATAGTAGTCGTCTATGGCCAACAGTTATATTGATATGATTATTTCCTATAATGTAACTACATAGCATAAGCGCTTGGGAAGAGAAATTAATATCGTATATCAATGATATTTAAATGGATAAAGCGCTTCTTTAATATATCACCATGTATAACTAATAATGCTATATTTTTCTCTAGTGTTATCCAACTAATATCATTTATTCACAACTTATCTCTACATTCATAGCTTGAATAATCTATTAAAGCTAAACTATTTCATTGGAAATGCTGAAATCCACTAAATTGCTTCCCACTATCTTCTAGTACCAAAATCTGCAGCAAGTTGACGGTTTGTGCAGAATGATTTTGAAATATGAAAATTTAAATAGTATGATTGCTTGGTTTTGGTTTATTCCTGCTCACATATACTTGATGTGACATATAGGTTATTCAGTAGTTCATTAAATTAGATGGTGGTAAGAGTTTCCTTTCTGGCTTGAACCATGAGATAGTTTTCAATGATGTTTAATTAGTTAGCTGTCACTGGTTACGCTGGAAAGAAAATCCAACTCTAAGCTTTCGAGAATCTGATTAGATCAAAAAATTGTTTTCGACATAATCTTAGAAAAGTTTAAAAGGTAATTTATTCCTTCGGAAATATCACCAACTCGGTACGTAATTGAATAAGAATGAAATTAATATAACAAAATAACTAATAGCTTGTGAGGACACATTTATTTCATTAGCATAAGTTATGACACAACTCCTAAGAATTCCATATTTCAGTTTTTAGGTATTGTATTTTATTGTTGCTGCTAAAATTAAATATTTTATTCAATCTCTGGATACTTTATTCAAAGCATAATTTTTTCTATGTCATCAATAGATGACTTGATCATGATTTTCATTTGACAAAACAAATGATTAGTAAAATAATGTGAATGATTTGACAATGACAATATTACTTTAGCAAGTTGTTACAACTTAATCCTTTTATTCACCTCAAAAAACATGTATGTTTTCATCCAGTAAGCTATCTATAGACCTTAGAACTACAAATAGGCAGTAAAATAAGTATATCTTCAGGTCAACGGTAATCGATTTGACCAACTTTTCAGTACTCCGCATGTATGTGTTCATAGTAAGGAAGTACTAGAAGCTGACAAATACATAAGTATAAAATCAATATTAGAACTCAACTTTGATAAACATTTCCCAGCTTTGTGTGTATGTATGTGCATTTTACTCTAATTAGAGATTTTCATGATTCAGACTAGTATTAAAACGATAAATGAATGTTCTATTGTCTGCTTTGTTTATATTGTGGCCTAAAAACAGTAAGCAAGACGATATTGATATGTTTCCTTATGGTAGTGACGCTTTTAAATATATTATGGGATAGCAGTTGAGAAAAAAAGATGAATATGATTTTGAATACCTGTTATTAAAGTGTTATTTACTTACGCCTGTTACTCCTCGTAAAGGAGCATAGGCCGCTCACCAGCATTCTCCATCCAACCCTGTCCTGGGCAATCCTTTCCAGCTCCTTACAGTTGTTATTCATCCTTTTCATATCTGCTTCTATTATCCGACGTAATGTGTTCTTTGGCCTTCCTCTTTTCCGCTTCCCTTCAGGATCCCAAGTTGGGGCTTGTCTCGTGATGCAGTTTGATGATTTGCGTAATGTATGTCCTATCCATTTCCATCGTCTTTTCTTAATTTCTTCAGCTGGAAGTTGGTTTGTTCTCTCCCACAGAAGGCTATTGCTGATGGTATCCGGCCAATGGATGTTGAGTATCTTGCGAAGACAGCTATTTATAAATGCTTGTACCTTCTTAGTGGTGGTTGTTGTAGTTCTCCAAGTTTCAGCTCCATACAGTAGAACTGCCTTGACGTTCGTATTGAAGATTTTCACTTTGATATTGGTTCATATGTGTTTTGAGTTCCATATGTTCTTCAATTGTAGGAATGCTGTCCTTGCTTTGCCAATCCTCGCCTTTACGTCTGCATCTGAACCTCCTTGTTCATCGATGATGCTTCCCAGGTATGTGAATGATTCTACATCCTCCAGAGTTTCACCATCAAGAGTGATTGGATTGCTGTTCTCCGCTTTGAATTTGAGGACCTTGGTTTTCCCTTTGTGTATGTTGAGGCCTACTGATGCTGAGACTGCTGCTACACTGGCTGTCTTTATCTGCATCTGTTCGTGTGTATGCGATAGGAGGGCTAGGTCATCTGCGAAGTCCAAATCGTCTAATTGATTCTGAGCTGTCCATTGTATCCCGTGTTTTCCTTCAGATGTCGAGGTCTTCATAGTCCAGTCAACCACCAGAAGAAAGAGGAAGGGGGAGAGTAAACAGCCTTGTCTAACTCCGGTCCTTACTTGGAATGCATCTGTCAGCTGTCCTCCATGCACGACCTTGCACTGTGGTCCGTCGTATGAGTTCCGGATAATATTGACAATCTTCTCAGGAACTCCGTAGTGTCGAAGAAGTTTCCATAATGTCCTCCTATCTACATTGTCGAATGCCATTTCATAATCAATGAAGTTGATGTATTGTGACGAGTCTGTGCACGACCGATCCTTACGGAATCCAGCTTGTTGATCTCGAAGTTGGGCATCTACTGCGTCTTTCATCCGGTTCAGCAACACTCTGTTAAATACCTTCCCTGGTATTGACAGTAGTGTGATGCCTCTGTAGTTTTCACATTTGCTCAGATCTCCTTTCTTTGGAATCTTGACAAGGTGTCCTTCTTTCCAGTCCATCGGCACTTGTTCCTCCTCCCAAATCTTTTTGAATAGAAGGTAAAGCATGCTTGTAGTTACTTCGATGTCTGACTTCAATTCTTTAGCTGGTATATTGTCGGGTCCTGCTGCTTTCCCGCTCTTGATTTGTCTGATGACCATTCTGATTTTTTCCGTCGTTGTTGGAGTGAGATCTATAGGAAGATCTGTGTGTTGCTTCGATGTCCGGTGGATTCATTGGAGTCGGCCTATTCAGGAGTCCCTCGAAGTACTCCATCCATCTGTTCCGCTGTCATTGAATTCCGGTGATTGGTCTGCCTCCTTTGTCCTTGACCGGTCTCTATGGTTTACCATATTTCCCTGATAGTTTCTTCGTTGTATCATAAAGCTGTTTCATATTTCCTTCTCTTGCAGCTTTTTCCACCGTCGTTGCTAGTTCTTCCACGTATTTCTGCTTGTCGGCTCTAATGCTCTTCTTCACTTGCTTGTTTACTTCTATGTACCAAGCTTGTGCTTGGACTTTCTCTGCTCGTGTTCGGTTTTTGTTAATTGCGGTCTTCTTATTCTTCCTTTCTTTGATCCTGTCCAGTGTTTCTATAGAGATCCATTCCTTATGATGATGCTTCTTGATGCCCAGAACCTCTTGACGCGTTAAAGTTAATGCTTCTTTGATACCTTTCCAGTTGTCCTCTATAGTAGTTTCTTCTTCCTTCAATAGATCCTGTAAGGCTTGGGACTTGTTGTTAAGAGCTATATTGAATTCGTTGAATTTGTTAGTATCTCGAAAGAAGGCTGTATTGAACCTTTGTAGTGCTGTTTGTCCACTTGTCCAGTTCTTTTTTAGCTTCAGTTTTAAATTGGCTACAACTAGGTGGTGATCTGAAGCTACGTCAGCTCCTCTCCTGGTTCTCACATCTTCCATTGTCCTTCGGAATTTTTTGTTGATGCAAATATGGTCTATCTGGTTCTCTGTAGTGTGGTCCGGTGAGATCCATGTAGCCTTGTGTATACGTTTGTGTGGAAATATTGTGCCTCCTATGACTAATTTGTTGAATGCACACAAATTTGCAAATCTTTCTCCATTTTCGTTCCTCTCTCCCAGTCCATGTCGTCCCATAATATCTTCATATCCAGTGTTGTCTGTTCCGACCTTGGCATTTAGATCTCCCATCAGAATGGTGAGGTCCTTTCTTGAGCATTTCTCTATGATTGACTGCAGCCGCTCGTGGAATTGATCTTTAATGTCGTCGTTGCTATCATTGGTGGATGCATAACATTGGATAATGTTCATTGTGATCCCTTCCTTCTTTGTTTTGAATGATGCTTTGATGATTCTGGATCCATGAGATTCCCATCCTACAAATGCATTTCGTGCTACTTTGAAAAGCATTAGAGCAACTCCCTGAGTGTGTGGAGCATTTTCCTCTTCGTGACCGGAGTACAGCAGCATTTCTCCCGTATTTAACCTTTGTTGTCCAGCTTGGGTCCAATGGGTTTCGCTGATTCCCAGTACTGCCAAGTTGTATCTCCTCATTTCCGTTGCTATTTGACTGGTCTTCCCGGTTTCCCACATTGTTCGAACGTTCTATGTACCTATAAAAGTTGTTGCTCTGGTTGTTAGAAGGGGCATCGGCCTCGTGGCTTCCGAAGGAACTCGGCTTTCACCATGTAGCGTCATAATTCTTCTAAATGAATATCTTCTAACTCACGGGGAAGAGTTAAAATGGTTTGAATTATTTTTTCTGGTAAGCGTTT